TTGTCACCGCTCGCTTTTGGGTCGAAAGAGTGCGCAAAAGCGGCCCAGTTCCCGAGCTCCGGAGTCGCAGGGTTTTCTGCGGCCCGACAGCCCGCTGAGGACCTGGCTCGGAGCGCGGCAGCCCGCCGAGGTTTCGGCCTGCGGCACGTCAGCTCGCCGAGCTTGTCACCACTGATGTCACCGCTCCGTCTGGCTCCGTTTTTGGTGCAAAAAGGCGCTCAAAACGGCCAACTCCGAAGAGTTCGTTTTTCGTGTCAGACGGCAAGTGAGCCTCAAGTTTCGCTCGTTTTCGGTCGAAAGCAGGCTCCAGACGCTCAGTTTGGTCAGAATTCCGCTTTCTGCCCGGAAAACAGGCGAATGCCATCCCGCCAAGCTTGTCACCGTTTGTCACTCACCGCTCTCTTTTGGGCCGAAAAGTGCGCAAAAGCGGCCGAGAGGACTTTGTTCTTGGCAAGTTTGAGTCAATATTGAAACGGTTTGATTCATTAATGGGTCATTATGGCAAAGCTAGGGCTAGAACTCAATTGCCAAAGTGCAAAGTGCCAATTTGTGCAGAAACCGATTCCCGCCGCTTGATGCTGGGACCTCGGCAGCACCTTTGCTCCTTGCTTTGAACCAATCCGCCTGAACCACAGCATACAGGTATTTCAGCGCTCACTTCAATTTGCACTAGTGTACCGTCCACTAAGGAGAAGGCTTAATTCTGCAACCGCGGCAGCTTTGCTCCTTGCTTTGAATCATCCACATGAACCACACCATCTACGACTTACAGCGTTCACTTCAAATTGCACTTGTGTTTCGTTAGCTTAAAGTTCACCACGCGCTTGTCACCGGGGCGAAAGCAGCCCACTGAGCTTGTCACCGTTCGTCACCGATTGTTACCGTCGGGACTCGAGCCCCAGCACATGGTAGATCGCAGAGACTGGGCTTGACCACTGAGCCAATGGATCTTTGGGACAAGGGGCTGGGTGCTTTTCACTCGAAAAAGCAGCCCGCCCCTTGACCAGGCTGCCGAGCTTGTCACTGCTTGTTCGCCGAGCGCTTCAGGGTGGACAAAAAGAAGCCCGCTGAGCTTGTCACCGTTCGTCACCAATTGTCACCGCCGGGACTCGAGCCCTTGACCACTGAGCCAATGGATCTTTGGGACAAGGGGCTGGGTGCTTTTCGCTCGAAAAAGCAGCCCACCCGCGCTTTTGCAATTCAAGCCGCAACACGCGGCAGACCGCAGAGACTGGGCTTGACCAGGCTGCCGAGCTTGTCACTGGCTTGTTCGCCGAGCGCTTCAGGGTGGACAAAAAGAAGCCCACTGAGCTTGTCAATTCTCACCGCCAGGACTCGAGCTGGTAGATTGCAGAGACTGGGCTTGACCACTGAGCCAATGGATCTTTGGGACAAGGGGCTGGGTGCTTTTCGCTCGAAAAAGCAGCCCGCCCGCGCTTTTGCAATTCAAGCCGCAACACGCGGCAGACCGCAGAGACTGGGCTTGACCAGGCTGCCAAGCTTGTCACTGCTTGTTCGCCGAGCGCTTCAGGGTGGAAAAAAGAAGCCCGCTGAGCTTGTCACCGTTCGTCACCGTTTGTCACCAGCGGGATTCGAGCCCGATACCGCTGCAAATGGTAGAGAAAGGAAAAAAAAAACAAAAAAAAAAAAAAAAAAAAAACAGACAAAAAAAAAAAAAAAAAGAAAAAACAAATAAAAAAGAAAAAAAAAGGGCTTGAAGATGAGGGACCCCCTCCCCTCACTGACACAAAAGAAAGAACATGTGGCCAACCCCCAACAACAAAAAAAACTCTTAAAAAAAGGCGCTTTTTGGTGCTACAGAGCTTGTCACCGTATGTGACGGGGTATGCCCAAAACACAATACGGTGGACACCAAGCTCGGCGGGATGGAATTCTCCTGTTTTCCGGGCTGAACCGGCAGAAAAAAAAAAACAAAAAAAAAAAAAACAATAAAAAACAAAAAAAAAAGACAAACAAATAAAAAGAAACAAAAAAAAAAAAAAAAAAAAAAAACAAAAAAAAAAAATAAAAAAAAAAAAAAAAAAACAAAAAAAAAAAGAAAAAAAAAAAAAATAAAAAAACAAAATAAAACAAAAAAACAAAAAGCGTAGCACTAAGCAATGAAGCCTCTGGAGCCCGCTTTCCGACCAGAAAACGAGCGAAACTTGAGCTCACTGCCGTCTGACACGAAAAACGAACACTTCGGAGTTGGCCGTTTTGAGCGCTTTTTTGCACCAAAAACGGAGCCAGACGGAGCGGTGACATCAGTGGTGACAAGCTCGGCGAGCTGACGTGCCGCAGGCCGAAACCTCGGCGGGCTGCCGCGTGTCGGGCCGCAGAAAACCCTGCGACTCCGGAGCTCGGGAACTGGGCCGCTTTTGCGCACTTTTTCGACCCAAAAGCGAGCGGTGACAAAGCGGAGGCGAACGGTGACAAGCTCAGCGGGCTGGAATTTGCATGCTTTTCCGGGCAGAAAACGGAATCCAGAGCACGGCGAACGTCTGGAGCCCGATTTCGACCGAAAACGAGCGAATTTGGAGGCCCAGGCAGCACATTTGACGTCTGACACGAAAAAACGAACTTTTTGGAGTTGACCGTTTTGAGCGCTTTTTGCACCAAAAACGGAGCGGTGACGAAGCGGTGACATCGCTGGTGACGAGTTCAGCTGGTTGAAAATTTTGCAGTTTTGGCGGGTTTTTTGGCCAAAAAACCGAAATTAATTGGTTACTATAAGCTGATGTTCCTTACTACTAGTGCAGAATGTAGCACTCGAAATACAATCCGCAAATTTCGAGCTGCAGCTCGAAATTCGTGAGTCAAAAGTATGAATCAAAAGTACAAAGTAGTACGCAAAGTACATTTCCGCAGCTCCGGCTCAAAAATAGCAACTTTTGAGTACAAGAGTAGTACGCGACAGATAGATCGATCGATAGATAGATAGATAGTTAGGTGCGTAGAGACATAAGCAGATAGGAGGAAAGATGCACAGGCAGAAGTGTAGATAGACAGACTGATAAATCATAGGCGAACAGATTGATCGTCGGAAGCAAAACTGGATACACAGATAGGTAGACAGATGATGGATAGATAAACGGATAGATAGATGCTGTAGATGGCAACGCATGCCAATCATCTTTCGGAAAGCGTGCGAACAAAGAGGCGCCGTTCGCCTTGCGAACCACATTTTGCTGCTGCTCCGCTTGGCAAAGATGACAAGCACTTAGAGGCATGAATTTTTGAAACTTCCGCCCGCCGGCTTCGCCGGCTCTATCTGGTACTTGATGCATCGCCGTTGCGGCTGTTGGCAGGCTGTAATATGATGGTGGCAGCTAGCTCTGCTTGAAATGCACTTGGAGCCAAGGTTGTCCTTTCATCCTAATCACCACGCAGGGCAACATTTCAACTCCGTCAGGCAGGGCATGGCCTGGCCGCAGGAGGCTATTTCGGCTCACCCTCCGCGCCCACGTTTTGCACGGATGACTAGCTTTGGCAGCTTGGCAGTCTGGTTGACAGGCAACGGTGAGCTTTTGTTCTGCTCCTTATCCTGTTACTGTCTGCAGAGGAGAGATCAAGAGAGGCCGCTGCGCCCGGCGTTTTTATTGCGAGATGATCAACTTCAGAACTCACTTTGAACTTGTGCCCAAAGTGTCGAGCTGCAGCTCGTGGAAGCTCGTGCCCTACTTGAGCGTTCTCCCCCAAGGTTTACGATCTTGCTGCGCTGTCAAAGCACATTGGCTCTCTCCAGATCCTCGGGTTGACATGTGTCTGACCACTTTCGGAGTCCCACCAATATTGAGGGACCCATGCCGCAAAATGACACAACGGGCCACTAAAAGGACTCCTATTTTGGGGCAGGCGTGGGGGACACTATGTCTTGTCAAGTTGCCTCTGACTGTGTTCAACCAGTTTGCAGAACATTTTCCGCCGGACGGAGCTGTCGTCGTAGTGGTACCTGCACGGCCAGGTTGTCAGGAGGCCCCTTGCGAATGGGCCTTTCCGGCGCAGACTCCCCTACATGGTTTGGTCCCCCTGTAAGTCAAAAAGGGATCCATAGTACATGTGTAAAGAAAAGCCTGACCAACCCCAAACCTCCCAATAAGCGTCCGCGTCGCGCACGGCCTTTCCAAGCCATTTCACAGCACATGTGGCCATAAAGCACCGCCCCTGGCTTCGCAATACGTTTCTGAACCGGCTCCTACCATCTGTCGCCGTTCACATGATGGGACTCAATTGACCCCATGCTTGGCAACTGTTTGACTCACGATTCATGACACAGCACAGGGCAAGTGAATCCGCATTTTTTCCAGTGGCGAACTATGGCCCCCCGGAAGTGTGGTGCTTCAGGCCCAGCTTTTGCAACTTGGGATTCGCACCTTGTCCTTCTTTCTGTGCTGTTTGCTTTGTGCCCATTCTTGCTTTCTTTTTTTCCATTTTTTACGCTAGTTGTATCCACTCCACCGAATTCGTTTGAGACACAAGTCCACACGTACAGTTGCTCCACATACACCTTTGCATAGCCTTGTTGTCTTCAAAGGTATCTCCGAGTCCTTATTTGGTTTCCTTCACATTCGGCCGATTTCTCCGATTGTAGCAAACATCAAGCGACGCAAAAAACGTTTTGCCGCCCAAATGTTTGCCAGCTTTTTGGTCAGTGCAGCACTCAGCTTTTGAAAAGGCACTAGTGCGTTTGCGATCTTCCCATTACTATTGGCAGGTCGCGTGGTGACACAAGGGATCAACATGGATCAACTGTGGCGTTGGTTGATGGTCATGTATGATCCAGTGTAGGTATCGCTGTGCGTAGACTTTCATTGTATTTCCCTCTCTTTAGCTGAGCGAGCATGTGCGGAGGCAATGGCTTCTTTGCTGTCAACATTTTAGATCAGCGAGCATAGACATGTCTCGAGGCTGCGTCGGCCTTTTGCTTCGGACCTTGCTGGGTGTTGGTTTGTTTCCGCTAGGTCGGCGCCATGTAGCTCCATGCTGTATGCCCGGGCTCAAAGTCTTCAGGTAGCCTTTGTTCCGCGAGTCATGGATGGAGAGGCGCAGCTTAGATGTCCACCAGAAATCCATGAGACTGTTTCCTCTTCATTCTTGAAGTTGCTTAGACCCGGACTTGCCTCCAGGCCTCTTCAGGCCTCAATTCAATTTGCTTGATCCGTCAGGATGATGCGCAAGAAGAGGACCGTGCCTGACGCGAGACGACGCGTCAGACCATGCGAAGCGGAGGTTGGAACACCGAAATCAACCAGGTTGCGTTCCAATAAGTTGCAACCCCCAAACTGGGCCTAGCGGGCTGCCTGGCTTTCCTTGTGCCAGCTTGGCCGCGCAGGAATTTGAGGTGGAGGACATCCTCAGATATCGAAAAAACGAGGATGGCTCTGAGCCCGCACCGACGCGTTTGGGGCTGCAGGTCGGGAAAAGAAGCCCGGTTTTGTGAGGATCGAGTGATGCGACACGCTGAAAAGCGGTTCTCTGAGATGGGTGCGCGAGGATCAATGAGGGGAAGATGTTTGTTTTCGCGAGGGTGGTGGTACTTTTTTTTTACTCGCGCGGCGAAAGTAGACGTAGCTCACAAGTTGGACCAAGTTGGAGGGGCCAGTCTCTTGCGGCCTGGGCCAGGCAGTTCCTGGTCAAGTGGCAGGGCTTCTCTGAGGAAGCTGGGGCCTTAGCGCTTGGACCGTTGTTTTGCTGATATGCTTTTGAGCTGATTGGATATTTTTTTTAGCAAGCATTTCAAGAGACTGACTGACTGAGACTTAAAGTTTGGCCCTTTTAGTCCAGCCCAGCAATCCACCAAGTAAACCTAGCCGTAAACCTAGCCACGTAAGCGCATCGGAAGGCTGGCGTTGGCGGTATTTTCTCACCAACCGAAGCTGCTTGGATCCTGTTGGAATCTGAGAAAGGTTGTTCGGCGTGTCCCTTTTCAGATCCTTCCCTTCTTTTTTGGCATTGAAGCCCACCGGCTTCCCTTTTCGCCGCGCCCGTGTTTTTTTTGTTGCCCGTTTTCTCCTTAAGCCGCCGCGGTTTATTTGTCGTTGTTGTTATCTCGAGGAGTCGACCTGGGAGCCTCTGGCGCACATGAACGACAACTGTCGAGAGCTGATCGCCAAGGCGTCCAGTGGCTGTGATAGGATCGGGGTGTTGGGGTGGCTAGGTGTTGTTGGGGTGGCTTTTGGACAGATTTAGTTTCTTTTGTTTGGGTTTTCTTTTGTCCACCACTTTTCGCGGGCGTTTGCCGACCACTTAAGAGCTGCTCCCCCGTTTTTGAGAGGAGCCATATTTATTGGCCGGAATCCACAAAGAGGTCCAATCCTCTGGGGACTTCGCTTCCTATTTTTTGTGTCGCCAAGTTGACCGAGACCGTGGGCGAAACGGGTGGAGGATCCTCGGATCTGGAGGAGTGGTAACCTCAAAGAGCCGACTCGGCGGTTCGAACCGTTGGTTTGTCACTTCCATCCCAAGCTGAAGTTTTGGGGAGCCATTGGGCCAGATGTCACCATGGTTGGTGTGGCTAAGCAGGTTGGTGTGGCGTCTGACACACTGCTAGAAGCATATGTCACTTGCCGGCCATTGCGGCTTCAGCATTGAGATGGCCATTCTTTTCTTCTTGCCCGCCCTTCCCGAAGGGGGGAAAACCCAGAGGAGGGTAGGCTTTGTGCTGAGCAGTACATTTTCGCATGATGGAACTGGAGGATATTCAGGTGTCCTTGTGCAGGCCACCTGTTTTCAGCCTAATGAGACAGGGCTGCAGAGATTCCTCTGTGCAGCAATGAAGTGAAGAAGAAAAGAGCGAGTTGGCGAAGCTGCAACGCGGGAGGCATGCTTATTCTCGAAACCGCTTTCAATTTGCAAGAGTTGGTTTTGAGCCGGTGGACACTTTGGTGCGTGTTGCTTGGATGTTAGGACTTTAACTTTGTGCCAACTAATGGGTTTTCCATTAAGCCACTAAAAGTTAAGCTTTTGGCAGGGGAGCAGAAAGCAACCGAGGAAAGGGGACTCGACAGGGCCTTGAACCACTTTTTTGACTGCAGGCGCGGGCGCTCTTCGCGTACCGGCGGCGGGGCCCGAACGGCGACGCGCCCGGGCCTCATGGAAACTCCATCAAGGGTGGGGTTGGCTCAGGAGTCCTTGGGCGTTCTTCGCTTTGTTGAGTTTCCTTCATTGATTCGTCGCGTTTTCTCGTGAAGCTCAGTCACCAAGCCAAGTGTTTTTTCTGGCCTACACCATCCCACGAGGTCCGGTGCTGGCGAGGTCGCTGTGTCTTCCGCGTCGCCCAACACGGCTGCGACTGCAGAGGACGGACCCCGGGACCCGGCGGGGGATCGGGGCTCAGTGTGTGTGGGTCAATACTTTAAATCACCAGGAACTGGACCGCAGGTTTTAGTCTTTGCCAGGGTTCCATTTTGGGGACCTATTTTGGTCCCACAGCCAGATGACCTCTCCCTTATTTGTGTCTCTTGTGTTGCACTTGCTTTGGGGGTGGCCCGAAACTGGGGACCTGTTGACTTGTCAGCATCAGGTGGGGCGCCCTTGCTGCTAGTTCTCACATGCAAATCTTTTGGTGTGTGTGTGTTTCCCAAAGTCCCAGGTCCCGATGAAGAAAATCTGCACAGCGATGCATGTGCCGGAGCTTGTAAAGCACGGTCTCAGCTGAGAAGATGACACCTCTGGCGTCTGTCAGCGGCCGGCGCTTCCAGGCATCTGCCCCGAGCATCGCAGTCATCGAGGAGGACAAGGAGGACGCCCAGGCGCCGCAGTTGAGCGAGCGCGCCTGGGCTTTCGGATGACCTGACCCAAGCCCAGGGTTAGGGCTCCGACAGCTCTTTCTTGCTCGTAGTTTTGTTTGTTAGATTGTTTGGGCAAGGTGAATGCGCAGGCTGATTGGCTAACGAGAAAGCGCTCCGCGGAACGAGGAGATTCCCTACTTCCTTCCCTGGAAGAAACACCCTAAGGGGCCCCTCATTTATGGACAACCCTCCGGAGCCGGGTGTTTGGAACCACGACCGCACTGCCATACTGACATTTGCCCAAACCTTTCAATTGAACATCAGCTTTGGATCAATTCAATCTGCATTTTCTTTTGTGTGGCAGAGATGGGTTTGTCTCCCGGCTCCCGCATGATGTGCTCTTTGGGTTCCTGCTAAGCCAATTCCTTAGACAAGTTGCCATCGAAGAATGGGGCGCGCTTACTTTCCTTGTTTTTAGAGGTAAACGCCTTTTCACCTTAGTTTTACACGTCTCAGCCATTTCCGCGCCAGGCTGGACAGCCAGGCGTGGACATTCTTGGGGTTGGTGCCCTGTGGTACCCCGTGTTGCTGGTTTGTTTTAACGGGAAAGAGTTAATTTAAAAGCCATGACCATTTCGGGTCCCCCCCCAAAAAAAAGAGAAAAAAAAGAGAAGCACATGGGACACCCAGGTGTTTCCTTTCTTTTCGGTCGGGGGTACCATCTTCACTTGGGTTTCCGCCTGGAAAGCCCTGAGGGCTTAGTGGAGTTGAAAAGCAGGGCCAACTTTCCCGGTGGCTTCAAGGGTTCCCCTAGAAGTTTCCTGGTAAGCTAAGAAAAGCCGGGGCCGCAGGAGTTGGCCGCCCCAGCAAAAAAAGTTTTTCCAACAGCTGGAAGCTTTGGGGTCTCAGCCCAGATAGGCTCCGGGGTGGTCCGGGGCGGCCCTGAGGTAAGGTTCCACGACAGTTCCACGAGGGTTCCATCAGGGTTCCCTCAGGGTTCCACCAGGGTTCCACCAGGGTTCCACCAGGGTTCCACCACGTTCCACCAAAGTTCCACCAAAGTTCCACGAGGTTCTGCGAGGGCTGCGTGCTGTTGGGGATATGACCTGGACCCGCGAGGCCTAGAAGAAGCCGCTGTGGGCCAGGACGAGCGCTGTGCAGGGCGTGTGAACGCGCACCCTTAAAGGTCACAGCGAAGGTCAATATTTACCAGGTACCGCTGGAAAAGGCAAGCTCAGCGAACAGCTGCCATCAGCAAAACAAAAGGGTTCAAGAAACCTCCTTTTTGCATGGGATTCTTGCTTGCGGGTTCTGATGAGCCGCCTTTCAATGCTCGCCACTTAGCTAATGGAAATGCAAAATGCCAGGGCTCATGACTGTGGTTCAAAGGATTTGGGGTCTTGCAGGTTTCGGTTTACTTGTGCCAGCAGGGATTTGGGGTTTTTCGCCGGTTTCCTTATGCTGGCTTGATTCTCTTTGTGTTCGTTAGGAGGAGGAAGAAGAGGAGGAGGAAGAAGACACCGAGGCCGAAGAGGCCTGATGGGTGGGTGTCCCTGAGACTCGGGAGAGGGCTTTTTTGAGCGCGCAAGAGACATCCAGAGTCGAGGGGCCGGGTCCCCGGATTTCTCATCCACTCGATTAAGGTGACGGTCACATGTTTGGCTTCGAATCTATTTCTTGCTTAGTTGCTAAGGAGAAAATACACCAGGTGACGTGGGCATGATTCGCATGCTTGGAGTCGCGTCAGTTTGTTGGCTTCACTGGGGACGGACGCTTCGGATTCACGAAAACTTGCACCTTGAAGGGCATCTTGCTCGCGTGTTTTGTTTTTTGTTTTTTCCTTTTCTTTTTTTTTCTAAAGTCCTTCTTTTTTCTCTGCTTTTTTTCTTGCGGCAGCCCGTGGATGTTCCAAGCACCAGAGAGGAGGCCCGACCCCACGGAACCCGAGTGCAAAGATTGGTGAGTCCCCAGTCTCCGGATGAAAAGATCCTTTGCTGTTGGTTTTGCCCCTTGCTATTTGCTGCTTGGCTGGCATAGCAAGCTGGCCCAAAGTGGAGTTCCGGCGCCAAGTTCCGCCTCTGAGCTTCCTCGTGTCCGCTTGAGGAAGCATGGCGTGTTTTTCTTTTTGGCGCAGGTGGTTTTGATTCCAGGTGTCTCAGGTCCCAGGTTCGAACATCGGCAATTTCCGAGGCGAATGGCGCCGCGCAGAAGGCGCCGTCGCCCGCAGGCTGGAAGTGGGGGGGGTTTCGATTGGACAGGCGGGGTTCCTTTGATGTGGCTGTTGTCAAAACCGTGTTGGAAGGGGTAGGTGAATTCACTCCCATCTTGGGAGTTCCTGTGGTTCCTGGGGTACTAGTACCCTTGGTCCGTCGTACACCCGACATGTGGGATGTCCTTGACAGGCCAAGGGGGACAGGTGAGAATCAAACATTAGTTGGGTTCCGGAAAGCCCCAAGCCAGCAATGGGAGCGAGCAACCAGGCGAAGAGGAGATCAGCATCATCGAAGATGATGAGCCTCCGGTTGCCAGTCAGGGCCACAGGATGTAAATTTATTTTTGACTCGCATGGTTGATGGGTTTGGACAGGCAGGTGGTAGGTTGTAGGTTGTTTGTAGCTTGGTAGTTGGCAGTTGATCTATATTCCTCGCCCCCAAATGACAATTTACCTGTAAGAGCTTGAGGGAAGATGTGGCCTGAGAGAGCCTAGCGTTCAGGTGCGCCTCCCTCAAAGCGGGGGCACCCGGCAGACACATCGCTGGCAAGCGAGGTGTGCTCGGAACGCCGTTTTTGGCGTTTCCGGTTTCCCTGAGATTCTGGCCTCAAAAAAATTGGCGGCTGGTTCTCAAGTCAAGAAAGGAAGTCCATGAGCCACGCAGGTGTTTGCATAAGGACCTGAGCCGCGGTGTCCGGACCCGTTGAGCCCGTTGATCCCGGGGACAGCTGGAGGGCAGTTCTTGATTCTCCGCTTCGCGACGGGCCCGAGCGAAGCGAAGCGACACGCGCCGAGATCTCGCACTGAGGCGGCCGGTTGACCTGGGCTTCGTTGGGGCACCCTCGGATCCCAGGAGCCGAAAAGAGACGACCTTTGGACGGGGGGACGACTGTTTTGGCTCGGAAAAGGGTCACACAAATGAATGGGATGGAAGAAGTTTCAAAGGGACCACCTCTGCAAGATTCTCATCTGAGATGTCTTCTTGTTTGCTGATTTCATCTCAAACTGCTTTTTTGGGGAATCTTGGATTCTTAAGGAACGGGGCGGCCCCATGTGGGTAGGTGCGCCCCTCATTTTGGTCTATTTTAGTGGGGATTGGGATGTTCACTGAGGGTACGATTTGGATTTTGACCCATGGCCCAAAAGGGGGGACCGTTTCTCACTCGCCGGCTGAATTTTGAAGCGGGCTCTGCTTGAGGGCAAGACTTGGTCACGGCACCTTTGAACATCGGGATCAAGAGAGAGAAGAGAGCTCTCCCCCTTTCGAGGGAGACCTTCAAGGTTGGAAGGGCCTGAGTTCAGAAAGGACGGTTGAAATGTCTTGCTGGCAGACAAACGGAAAATAATTTGAAACTACGAAGTGTAGGCCATGTAAACAGCTCTCATGGCAGTTTTGCTTGAACAAATTGTGGAAGAGGCTGGTTGTAAGCTGTTACTGGTAACTGGTAACTGTCCCGAACTTTTTGGGTGCCTGTTGCTAGTTTCTTTTGTTTCTCAGTTTCTTGTTTTCTTGGTTGGTTTGTCGTCTATCTGCCTGACCGGTTGACCGTCCGAGGTTGACCGTCCGAGCGACTGACTGAGTGTTTGTTTCGATTGTGGTTCACCTTGCATATCTTAGGATAGAGGAGGCTAGCACAGCAGGCGGATCGGATCTGATGATCTGATCGATGGCATCATCTCCTTGAATTGGTGGAGGTTTTCCACTGGCCGATTCGCGGGGTATGCTGAGGTCTTTGAGTTCTGGCAGTCTGATTTTTTGCACCTCGCAGCGGTCCACTAAATGATTTGTGACTATCCCAAACTCCAAGACGCCGAAGCGCCTGTACTCGACTGAGAATCCCAAGACCCCAAATATGAGGGTCCATGAAAGCCAAGGCCTCACATCGTGAGGTCTTGGGCTTCTGGGCACCTCTTCGCTTCGCCTTCCGCCAGGATGAAGCGGCCCAGACTGCCGGGCGCCGAGTCAGCCGAGTTCTGCTTGCCGCGTGCTCGGGTACCCTGAAGGGTGAAAGCCTCCCGAGTTGTTTTTCTTCTTTTTTTTTTGTTTTTGTTTTTTTTTCTGGTGGGGTCACATGGCCATAGGTCAAACTCCCGTACACCCAGTGAACATGCGATTCAATCCAACCACTCAAATGGAAGCCTAAAAAGGCTGGTGAATTCACCCAATCCAACCAAACTGGTATCCCAGAACGGTTTGACCACAGCCACAGCAAGAAATAGGTTGCTGTGGCTGTTGTCAAAACCGTTTTGGGATCCCATGTTGGTTGGATTGGGCGATTTTTTTCCACCCATTTTAGGAGGCGGCGTTTTTTTTTCCCCCAAGGCGCTGTCGCGCGTTTCCTTTTTGGCCATTCTGCGAGCCGCGATCGATCCCGATCCCGATCCCTTCGCTGAGGATCCCGCCAAGTGAGGCGGCGCCGGGCCTGGGGGCCCGGCCAAAACAGGCTGAGCTGGTGCCAGGGGCGCGCGAGGGAGCCAAGGGCCGAAGGGACTTGGGGTTTTGCTGGAGCATTTGGTGCATTTGGTGCAAACTCGGATTTGGTGCATTTGGTCAAGGGATGTTAGGACTTTATAACTTTTGCCAACTAAGGGGTTTTCCGAATCAAGCCACTAAAAGTTAGACAGGAGAGCAGGAGAGCAGATTTCGCAACCTAATAAAGAAAGAGGAGCACAAACAAGAGAAAAAAAAAAAAAAATAATTTCGCAACCGAGTCACCGTGATCGGCTAGATTTGGCGGTCTGGCACTGAACACCACCTAGATGCAGGTAGCGTAGGGGCCATAGCTCTCCAAAAGGCACAGAAAACAGGCATGATCCGGAGAACTTTGCCTTTTTGACCGTTCTTTTGGGGGTTAGCAGGAGGAGTTCGCCCCTTCGTGCAGCCTGTTCAAGGGGAAGTCCACAGGATGTTAAGCATGCCTGTTCGAAGCAGCTTGTAGAGCGAGGCCCCGGCACAAGGAATTCTTGGGAATTTCGTGGGCATTTGGGTGTGGCTCAAAATTCAACAGGAGGGGCACACCGCAGGGTTTGGTCCATGTTTCCACTTACCAGGGTTCCATTTCGGTACCGGTTTTTTGAGCCACAGCCACTTAGTGAGCCACGTGCTCAAAACCCGGGTAGATGAAGGTTAGTAAAGGGGTGGTCCCAGGCAGAAATAGCCGCGGAGTTCCGGCTTCTTAATTCTTGAAGCATGGTTTCTGGGACTACGGCCAGTTTCTTGCCGGGCTTTGAGCAAGTGACTCCTTTGCCCCTTGTGGCGGCTCTAAGTCGAAGAGTCAGATCAGCTCCGGAGCCGTGAAGATCTCGAGAGCGGAGTGACCCCTTGAGGTGCTTGGGACGGAGCCGTGCCCTCCCAAGCCAAGGCGCATCTTTTTTTCCCGAGAAGCCGCTGCTTCTTTCTCAGAAGAAGCCGAGGTGTCTTGAGGACAAAAGATTCGCTTTCCAAGGTGAGTGTTCACGGGGATTTTTTGTTTTGCGCTTTTTCTTGGAGGATTCGCGATGGCAGAGTTGGAAAGCCATCAGGTTTCTGGGACAAAGTTCACTGCTTACTGTGCTTGAGGATGCTCCCAGGGCAAAGAATGGCGCGCCAACATGTAGCCATGTTTCCCTTGCATGGTTGCTTTGAGCCCCCCGAACTGCCTGTGGGCTGTCATGCTCGCAGTGTCACGTGTCAGGCTTGAAGATGAATTCGGCATGTCAAACGCTCAGGTTGTTTGTCTGTTCTACTGAGGCCCTAATTCTGGAGGTTGGGGGTTTGTTTTGAAAGACATGCGTTGTGTGTTTCGCGAGGTTTCCCGCCATGCCTTCTTGCAAGTTCGCGGGCCAGGTGCCGGCAGGATCTGGGCCCGCCACCAACGGAGTGCGGCACGTGCGCTTTCCTTTTGACGGGGGTTTCGGGTGTGTCCGGCGTGAAAACGAAGCTGGTTCCACAGCAAAGGCTTGCTGGACAGCTCAGGTTGAGTGTAAAAAACCGGGGTTCATAGCTAGCTATGCCAGGCGTTTATGTTGGTGTGTTTCCTGCACGGTTACTTTCTCAGGGTTGTTCGGTGTCGCGCTTGACTGTCCATGCTGCTTAGTCTGAACTAAATCAAACCCTGCAATCCCGGGAGTGGCCGCAGGTACCTTCTTCCGTGCCAGCCAAGCCGTCGACACCGCCTTCACCTGCAGGCAGGCCAAAAAGGAGGGCGCAGTTCTGGCTGGGGATGGGGGCTTTCCTTTTGCCCACTATGGTGATTGAGCCTAGACCTACCATCTCCGGCCATTGTGTCCAACCAAACCTGCCAGTTTCCTTATGGCCGCGACCCGTTGTATCACCAGCTGATTTTCATTACCTGACTGGCACCCGTTGAACCCCACGTTCTCTTGGGCAATCGTGCCGGGCCGGCTTGGGAGTTTTTTGTGAATGTTTGCGCAAGTTTCCTGCTTTTCAGTCCAATAGAAAGTTGTAGGCGGATGCTTTGCTACGCACACGCGCACAGGCACATAATATCATCTCTCTATCTCCATTTGTATCTGTATTTGCGTCTGTATAAAAAGTCAGTATTTCCTCATCGAAGCAGGTCTTTTTTGCCTTATGGCCCTTTTGCGTCATGTGCATGGATTTGCATCGACCACGGGGAACTTTCCATGGCTTCTTCGCCGGAGGGCGCGGACGGGGCGGGGGATTGCGGGGGGGGGGGGGGCGGGGCTGGCGGATGGCGGATGAGGCCAGCCCGAGGTGCAGATTCCCGAGCCGCCAAAGCCGCCGCCCAGCCCGGGCCCCCAGGCGCTCGCCGGGGCCCCATCCCACCAAACACATGGAAGAACTCGAGGTATTTTCGGGGAATCGGTCCTGGTTTTGGCCATTGAACTTTAAGGGTTGGGTTCCATGTGAAAAGGGTGGGAGGGTATGAAAAGCATTCGGGTTGTTGCTTTGGACGTCGTTAGCGAGGCCCTTGCGGTGGTGCCAATGGGAGAACTGAACTCCTCTGCCTTTTTAGGGTAAGGTGCCACCAAAGACGTGGAGAAGTGCTTGCATGAAGATCTTGGTGACATGCAACAAGTCAATCGTTAGCCACCAAGCGGTGCTCGTTTAGAAGGATTCTCGCCAGCAATTTCAAAATTGGTTATGATGCTTTGAGGGCTTGGCCTTTGATTACGTCACACATTGCAGCGCCATCCGGGGCCCGCCAAGCAGAAGGGAGATTTGCAGCTTACCCTTTGAAAGGACAGGTTGGGTCAAGTCATGGATCACGCTTTTTGCCTCGCTTGGCGTTTTCTCCATGTGTGGGGCAAGCTATGGTTTAAACACCACCTTCACAAAAACTCATCGAAATAACCAATGGTTTCAACATGTTTAAGCCAATGGGTCGCCCCACCCTAGCGTTTTCTCCGCGCGAACCGAACCGAAGGTCGGGATATCAAGTGCCTCTGTGGAGCCTTGGAGACGATTTCGCCCAACAGCCTTCGGCCCAGCAGTGACTCGATTGGGGGGAGATTGGGGGGAGATTGGGTTAGTTCAGATATTTTTAGGGGATCAAGATGCATTTTATTTAAGGGCTGCCGCCCAGTGCCGCCGACCCCTTCAGTTGGATGGGCGAATTCTTGAGTCTCCGGTGCGGCGTTCGCGAGCGAGAATCGGGAATGCGCCAATCCATTTTTTGTTTCTGTGGGGGGGGGGGGGGGTGACCCCTTCAGCTGGATGGAGCGGCATTCTTGATTCTCCGTGCGGCGTTCGCCAAGCGAGATCCGGGATTGCGCCAATCCATTTTTTGTTTTGTGGGGGGGGGGGGGTAGACCCCTTCAGCTGGGATGGGCGCATTCTTGATTCTCCGGTGCGGCGTTCGCAAGCGAGAATCGGGAATGCGCCAATCCACTCTTTTTTTTTCTTGGGGGGGGGGGGGAGACCCCCTCAGTTGGATGGGCGCATTCTTGATTCTCCGGTGCGGTCGCGAGCGAGAATCGGGAATGCGCCAATCCACTTTTTTTTTCCTGTGGGGGGGGGGGTGACCCTTTCAGCTGGATGGGTGCATTCTTGATTCTCCGGTGCGGCGTTTGCGCGCGAGAATCGGGAATGCGCCAATCCACTTTTTTTTTCTGTGGGGGGGGGGGTGACCCCTTCAGCTGGATGGGTGCATTCTTGATTCTCCGGTGCGGCGTTCGCGAGCGAGAATCGGGAATGCGCCAATCCACTGTTTTTCCTGTGGGGGGGGGGGGGGTGACCCCTTCAGCTGGATGGGCGCATTCTTGATTCTCCGGTGCGGCGTTCGCGAGCGAGAATCGGGAATGCGCCAATCCACTTTTTGTTTCTGTGGGGGGGGGGGGGTGACCCCTTCAGCTTCCACTTTTTTTTTCTGTTGGGGGGGGGCACGGGTCCCTGCAGCTACGAATTTCAAGAGGGACCCCCCGGAAAAGTTGGTCGTGGACACAAACAGAGATTATTTAAACAAGACCTCCCACAGGTCCCCAATCATAACTCGTACTAGTTTGCGGGCCAAATCCTTTAAGGCCGGAGCCCGGTGCGCCGAAAAGAGATGGCGCCTGTTGCTCAAGTTGCAAAGCGAGCCGGTGGGATCCGGCTAAACATTTGAATGGTCTTCCATTGTTCTGGCTCAAAAGGGAACAATTGAGTCGTGGATGACAGTCAGCGAAAAGTCTTGTTCTGAAGACAATTGGCGTGGCGTGAGCCATCAGCGCGGCGTCCCACACTCCTGCTCTTTCCCGGAAATCCCTGCAGCTAAACAAGCCTACAAAAGGCAACCGGATCGCTAATTGATTGAGAAATGATCAACCAAATTGATTTCTAGACCTTTTGCGCGTTTCTTTGGAGTGGATTTCCTTTTAGAGCCAAGTAGAAAACAAAAGGCGCCTTGCGTTTGCCTTCAACCCATCAGTCCTGGGCCAGATTTGAACACCAGTGCATGGCGCTTCCGTCTGTGGTTTTCCTCAAATTTCCGACAGAAGCTCAAAGCGTAATCGGATGTCCTAGGAAAAACCCTTGATCAAGCAAATGTCTCTTGCTAAAAAGGGAAACCTTGACGGCCCGCCGCATCGATGGGATGCCTGCTGCTGCTGGTGGATCTTTTCAGCCCCGGGCTTGGCGAGTGGCTCTGACGTTTGAGCAAACTTTGTACCACATCCAACTGGACCCTGTATCTTTCGAGGACCCTCCGATCCATGGTTGAAGCATGGGTTGCAGAGGCGAGCTTGGACACAAATCCCATCAGCCCCTCGTCAGAATAACAATGGTCGAATCGCGGATTTCGTTTACTTTCTCGGACATAACCGGCCAAATGGGCTAGGTTATGGAATTTTGGGATAAGATGATAGTTGCACACTTCGGCAGATTGCGCTTTCACTGCCAAAGCTGGGTACATCACCAGGAAATTGTGAATCGGGCAGAATCAGAAAGCCACTCCGGCGATCCTGACGCTGAAGCAATTGATCGGCCAACACTGCGCGGGGGCCAATTTTCCGGTTGCCATTTAAGTAGCCAAGAAGCGATCAAATATTATAGCTTCAATAATTTCTTTCCATCAACTAGATTTGCACCCAATAACCCTAAGTGCATGGATGTCTCACTTGCATGATGCACATTCCGACCATCATGCCTGCCTCAAGCAAAAAAGGTGACCCTTCTAGGTTGATTTGCCTTTTCTATAGGTTATCAGCCGTAAGTGGCGCTTTGTACAGGTTTGTACGGCATGTCAGATGATCCTGGAGACTCCCCTACCGAGATCATACCCTCTCCTGATGAGCGGGCGAGTGTGGATCACTCGCTATATGATCCGACAAGTCGCGCGAACTCAGAAGTGGCCAGAGAGCTCATCAGGAAGGGGCAAGCTATGAGCAGCCACAGCCCCGCGTCGCTAGGTTTAAGAAGCGACCGAGAACGGCCTGATCGTCCTGGTGCCAGGTCTCCATCACCTGTCGATCGAGATAGGCATCAGCATGGGGACATCGTCATGTACGACCCTCGGGCCGATCTCGCAAGGGGAACTGCTGTGCCACCGTCCTTGAACCAGTACAACCAGAACAGTGCGAGTATGCATCATGATACTTCGCTGGATGTGCATAACGAAATGAACAATTACCAGCAGATCAAGGCAACTCAGAACAACGCCCAGTTCAACCAGTACGTTAACGAGGACACGGGTCCTCTCGTTGCCCAGGTTGCCGAAGCCCGACACAGCGAGATCATCGCCGGACTTCAGAACCGATCTGAGGCAATGAGGAGAGAGATTCAGTTGAATGCCCAACGACGTGCTAACACGTTCCTGTCCCGCCTGATCAACCAGAACAAGTTGCATCTCCACCCGGCCTTTCTATTCCGAGCCTTAGTGAGTGGTCAAAGGTCGGAAGCGATCCCTATGGCAAAATAGGGTCCGTTCCCGCCGGGACCGCTGGAGATGTAGCTCCTGGAAATGGAGAGCCTGGAGATTATGGCGACCGCAATGAAGATGAGAAGGAGAAGAAAAGGAAGACGAAAAAGAAAGAGAGTAAGAAGGATCGGAGCCGCCGCAGGCGCCGTGACCCTTCCCCGTCTCCATCCTCATCATCGTCTTCGTTGTCTTCTGAGTCGGATGAATCTTGTCGGCGAAAATTCCTGAAGCAAGTCACGCGATCGAATTCATATTCCCCGTTGTCCGAAACCCGAGCAATACCGTAATTGGAGGACCAAAGTTAGGGATGTTGTTGTTGCTACTTCTGATAAACCCGAGAAGGCTTTTCAATCCTTCGCGATTCAGGCTTATTTGTGCACCTTGATGCCAAACTGGCCTCAGCATTGACGAACATCCTTGAGGGTGACCTCGCTCGCTAGATCGCTATTTTCCAGGAGCAGGAAGCCAAAGCGAAGCGATACGTCAGGGGGCGCCAGATTCTATTGATGAGTCATAAGCATTTCAGCACAAACATTAAGCACGGCGCAATCTGCGACTTTGAGGATTTGTTGTCTGTTCAGCTTTTCAATGAATGCTTGTGAATTTCCTTACTCGATGGGATTCTGTGATCGCAGGGATGGGCAATGAACAGAATGACAAAACCCTTGAGGCACTATTCCATAGGCAGATCAAGAAGTATCGCTCTCTTTCCCAGGGCCTCAATGACTATGATCGAGCTGAGGAGGGAACCGAAAAGAAGTCGTATCAATTCTCGATTGCAGCTGCCAGGAACCATTTGGAACGAAAGAGGCTTGTTCAAATGAGAGATGCAATGTCAAGCAATGCTACAGGACGTGGCCGAACTCCGTCGAATAATCCTGCGCTTCCCGGAGCTCCCAAAGGTGTTTGTATCAAAATCCAGACTGGCCAATGTACCTTTGGAGACAGCTGCCGCGGCGAATCGGTGCGAACGAGGGAAAGAGTGTCCGTGGCAACATCCTCCGGATCTGAAAGCCGCGCCAGCCCCGAAATCCGATAAGACCGCTAGTGGGGACACACCAAAGACATCGCCAAGAGACAAGAAGAAGAAGGGTAGCAGGCCCTCTTCTCAGGATTCTAAGGGTGCTAAGGATTCGAAGGGATCTCAATCCCAGAAGTCTCCCCGCTCTTCAAAGGGCGGGAGTGCGGCAGTGTGTCTAGTCAAGGCAATGGTGTGCGCCGCGACCATGGAGTTGGTTGCCTCGCATCCTGGTCTGCCTAGTTTGAAGTCTGATGTATTGAACGCAATGCCTTGCTATGGTAAAAGTGTGCAATTCCTGGACAATGTTTCCACGAGAAGCTATGAGACTAATGGCGAACTTTGGACCTACACTGCTTCGTCAAGAAAGTTTGCAAAAGAGTTTCCGGCCAGTTTCATTCCGAAATATGATGAAAGAGCTGTTTCCGTTGCGCGGCTGTTTGGCACAATGCAAGACAAAATGGTTCGTAAGATGTGAAGGGTACGACAACCCAATGTCACTACTTTTGCGATGCAGACTTTGGCTGCGATCACTGCCTTCCTGCAGGTCTAGCGGCCGGGCCTGAAGTTGCAGAAGATTCCTCATCAAACAAAAGGGCTGCTGTTGCAAGAATGCCAATGGGCTCAACCCATATCCCATGGATCGCAGATACTGGTGCGGCGCAAGACTTGTTGTCCCGAGACGATGCTCAACCGGAAGACATTTATGAATCTTCTCATCCAATGAAATTTCGACTGCGAATGGTAGTATCTCTGGGGCAGAACAAGCTGACGTAGGCATTGAATCCCCTCGACAAATTCTTGTCAGTGCTTTCTGTGGGAATGAGATGCTTGCAAGATGGTTATGATTTCGTTTGGCGAGCATATAACAGATCTTATTTCAAATTACCGGAGGGGAGGCGAATCAAGCTTGAGGTCAAAGACAATGTACCATTCATCCCTGGGAATGTCAAGAACGCTATCCCGGCAATATCTCAATGTATTCCTAAGGTCAACTCACTTCCGTCAGCCCCTATCGAGGTTGAGGATGAGGTGGTGGTTATCGATCACGAGCGGGGGTTTA